AATAAAACACAGTACAAGTCAGGAACATCATTGTAGAGAAATTTCAAGCAAAGTTAGAATAAAAATAGAATAAATATAAAATGTTTTCAACATTATTAACATATCTTGTTTGTTTCAGGATTCAATTTGAGAATATAACAAAACTATAAACATAGGACATTCCTCTTCACTTGTTTACTAAATCAGCTAATTGGAAGAATCTGATGGAGGCAACACTTATCTACAACTTAAGTGTCCATTGTATTCCTTTTTTTTTTTTTTTGTAAAATACAATTATACATTAATACTTTAAACTTTACAATAGTAAAGACAATTATAAAAAAACATGACATAATACATAATCAGGCCCCGTTCAGGGAGTGTTCCATCTGAGGGACAACATTTTAACAGTACATTTTATAAATCTGGCCTTTGAAAAACTGACAAAGAATAAGCTACTGTTGCACTTGGTCATAAGATGTTTAAAGTTTTCTAAATAAGAAAAACAGGTTCTCTGGTAAAGTAACTTCAAAACTATTATTTTTTTTTATTCTGTTACATGTAGATTTATTCAAAAAGCCAGTGTTCAAACTGAATTTTTGTACGTTTAAAAAAAAAAAAAATGTATTTACCATTTACAACTTAACTATTGTTTAATCCAAACTGATGGCGAGATGGAGCAGGGACCCCCTTATATATATTGTATGAAATTGTGTTCTATCAAACTGTTCCTATAGTCACTCTATTAGAGATGGAGTCATGTAACTAAAGTAATATCTCCCTGGGATTATTAAAGTATTTCTGATTCTGATTCCTGGTTGATGGGACAGGTGTTGTGAATGAAATGGTGCCCAGTTTGAAAGAGCTCCTGTGTGTCGCTGAATGTGTGCATTGATGCATTGATCCCTCCATTGCTCTGTTTACTACAGTGTGTTGAAATCATGTTAATTTGTATTTAAAGACATTTTAATTAGTGGAACAAATTGCAAGGGGGAATATAAAAAAAAAAGTCTGATCAACCAAAACTTTCGCGACCCCCATGCAGTACCTCTGTGGACCCCCTAGGGGTTGCGGACCCCTGTTGAAGACCTCTGCTGTAGCCTATTTTCCTGAATTTATTGTGGGTCTGAAGTTCCTGTGCAACTCAAAATGGATTTAGTGCATACTAAGAAGCAATCAGAATCTAGCTCAACTCAGACACCAATGGCAAGGTGAAAAAGTAAAAACAAATCTTATTAAGAACGAGTTAGAGCTACAAGAATGAGCAGAACTGTGTTGCAGTTCTGTGTTTTGGCCACAGGTGGCAGTATCATTTCATACAGGCCTCTATAAATCAAATGCTTTACTGGTGGCAAGAATCAAATGTTTGTCTTACATATATTCTATATCTGATGTGACTAATGTTAAGAAAAGAAAAATGGATATAGACGGGGCAAACATGTTAGTCCCTAAAAGGATTAAATTACACTTTATATTGTTAAAGGGTGTTCAAAGAAGTACTGAATTTCAGTACTTTTCCTTCAGTTTTTTAATTACGCACTGTTTGTGTGATATTGTACAAAGAATCCTGATAAAGTACATTGTAATGTGATCTAGTGTGGAAAAAGTTCAAGGGGTATAAATACTTAAAATGAATATTGAAACAGTTTCTAAATCCTTGGTGCCAAGCTGAAATTCATCTTTTACTGTTTCATTTACCATTGATAACACAACAAATATCAATAATGCAACAAATTGTTTTAAGTCATAGCTCTTTTTTCACCTTATTGTTTTATCATCTAACAGTAAGACTTTAGCACAAAGTGTCAAATGATTAGTGTATTGCAAAATTGGTCATTTGTATTTAATAGCATTGGCTTGTTTATTAAAAAAAAAACCTCTAAAATCAGTTTTCATTTGAATTGTTTTGTGATTTTTTTTTTCTAGGACAAAATGAAGAATAAGGAATTTACATCTCAGTTTGACCTCTAAATTAGCCATTCCCTCAGTGTGTAGACTATGCCTGCAGGCCTCTCGCAGTCATGGCTGCAGTAGTGCTGCATTGTTGGCTGTGTGCCTAGCTCAGAAATAAAGAAAAAACTGTAATTGGTAGAAACAGAAAGAAAGGGCAACATAGGACCATGTCCCTGCCTCAACTGTGTCTCTATGTCCTTTTTTTTCTTCCTCTTGGATTTTAGATTTTTTTTTTTCCGAGTGCTGTGTACTTAGGTAACCATAATCAATTTAAGATCAAATTTTTACTTCCTCCAACTGTTAATATATTCAGGCAGCCTCCCAAAATTCCATTTGTTTACAGCCATAATTGGCAAATGGTGTGTGTGTTTTTGTCAACTCTACCTTCCAAATGTAATCTTTTGAAACCTGCAAATATAATGAAAGTGAAGAAATAAAAAGAGATTTAACAAAAAGGAAAAGCAATTATTACAAACCAAAACCGGCAAGCCAGAGGTTTGCTTCGGGTGAACCTGCTTATCAATCGAAACAAAGATAACCTTATGTTAAATAAAGAAAACTTTCATACTGATTTTTCTCTCCATTTATCAATGCAGTCTGTCTCTTATGTCTTGTCTTAACAGTTTCTTAGAGAGCTCACTTGTTCAACACCTACTACAGCCGATGGAGGCTGTCAGGAAATGGATGTCCTCTCTACAGAGTTGGAGAGTGGCTGCCTGGACATCTGGAGGGCTCTGACATGATCACAGGCTTCTTTTAGTACAGGTGGAAAAAAAAGACAGATTTACTCACAGTCGCTTTCTGAAATTGGATCCTTGTTTCAGCTGTTGTGGGGTGTAGGAGGAAAAAAAGAGAAGATGTAGTGAATTGTATTTTTTTTAACCATGGATTCATACAATATACTTTCTACTCAATGTAATCCCCAAGATAAGGACAGAAAGGCTATGGGTGCCACATGGGAGGAATAAAATTAGTAAAATTCAGGATAGGATATAATCATCTCACTACTTCTCCTTTTAATAAACATTAAAAGGACATAAATAAATATATATATATTTTTTTTTTACAGGAGATTAAGACAAAAATTCATACCCTTTTCTATGATTGAAAAGTTTAAACTGCCTGGTTATAATAAATTGATGGAAAAATTATAATCAATGTCAACAACACATTTGGAAGTGTTTTGTTGGTTTTGTAGTTTCTTAAGGCCAAAACATATAGGAACTAACAAATTTGTAACAAAAGATACTTGTTAATTTCATACCCAGGTGCTAAATACTGTTTTTTTTTTTTTTTTTTTTTTTTTTTGTCTTGATAGTTTAGTACTATAAAAATAACTACAGAGGAATGTTCATCCAAAGGTTTAAATCTACAATATCCATATTAAGTACATAAAAAAAAGAAAAAAAATGTATGTTAGAACTGTAAATATACAGTCATATGATTATTTCTTTTTTTATTTATTTATTACTGTTTTCAAGGCTGAACTTAAAAAAATGAAATTGTCTAGAGCTGTTTTAAATTAAATTTCATTTTGTATACACTCGTGTATACACAATAAGAAAATGAATCTAAGTCTACGTAATCATGTTTCCGAAGATTTTTATAACATTCTAGCCCTGTTTCACCTAGGAGATAATAACACTTCATACAGTTACATAAGTATTGAAAATAGAATAACTTAACAATATTTTTTTAAGTGCTCGGTTACATTAGTAAAGATTACTTTAGACAACGAAAGAGACTTTATATGGGCATAAAATGAAATTTTACCACTTGTAGTACATGATTTCTTTTACCTATGATACACGAAATGACTACAATAAATACTAAAGTTTGAAATTAGATGAAAGTGCAAATGATAAGCCGCCCTCCCAAAAAAGTTGCATATCCCTCCAGACGTATGGGCATCCCTTTTAATGTTTCCAATATCTACAGCAAGAGCAGCAGTTAAGCATTGTGCATGATTGAAGGTGTGACAATAAAGGTTGGATGAGAAACAAATTTATTTTGCTACCATGTGCGGTGTGAGTAAAAGTAAGAAGAAAAATCTCTAAAGCTCATTTTTTGGAGACAAGCTTAAAACCAGATCATCTTGAGAATGCATGACACATTTGACAGTGGCTCCAAAGGTTTTTTTTATAATATGAATGAGATATTTAATTTCAAAATGTTTACATTCATTTATATGCATTTATCCTGTCCAATTCAGTTGGAGAATAGATTTGAAATTTGCACTAACCTAGTTACAGCATCTTTAAGTTTTTGTTGTGTTTTTGCTGTCAGTCTTAGTTAACAACCCATGCCTCATCCTGCAATATTGTCTTACTTTTTCCTTGCAAAATTTCTGTCCAAGTGGGAGTATGTCTGTTGTCTAAGCCCCCTTCTGGCGAGACTCGCTTTTTCATTATTTTATTTCTGAACTCTGACTCAACCACATCAAAATATGTTTTCTGCTCACTAAGTTGTCACTTGGTTGTTTTTCTGGCATACTTGTACACACAGTGATCTGGAATGATGGCTAGAGGTTATGGACCACAACTGACATACTTTGAACTTTTTTAGTGATCTAGTTTAATAATTTATTGCATAGCTGTTGAATTCTCCCCTGTACCTAAAATAAAATAAAACATTAAAATCTTTATCAGGAGTGACACTGTACATCTAGAGCGCTGTTCCTTATTTTCCTTTCCACTTATTTACAATAAAACCCAGAAAAAGCTGTTTGCATATATGAATTGCTTCTACATCTAATTCCAGCGAGCAACACACAGGATAAAGCGTTGCTATGCTTTGACCTACTGGAAAGCTAAAATGTCAATGTTATTGGAACAATTTGTTGTTTGCTTTTTACTTAGTAACGTTCATTGCTGTGTTGCTGAGTATGCATGTGTTTTTGTGTGATAGAGAGAAGGAACTGCAATTTTAACAGCTTAGGTTGTTGCATGTGAATGAGACCAATTGGACATAATTTTTTGCCATTTTTATCTATTCGCTGTAATTGCTAGTATTTGCTGTTATTCCTCGGTGGTGTAATGTGAAACCTCTTTAAATTATTTTGTTCACAGTGAAATTTGATGACTGCATGGGGAATGAGGCCGTGGTTTTCCAGAGCAGCGACCCCGTCTTCAGCGTGCGGACAGATGGATCCATCTTTGCCAAGGGAGAGGGAGCTAGCCTGGATGAGCCGGTTCAGTTTAAAGTGACAGCGCATGGTTCTCACAGAAATGTCTGGGATACTGTGGTTCAGCTGGCACCAACTGACCTGTTCTCAGCAGGACAAAATCAAAATAAGGTGAGTAGAACAGAAATATCATGCTTTAAGTTTCAATTATCGTATAAAAGGTCCCTTTTTATCACATTTACTCCAGTGGCCTGGTGATACCAACAGCCTAAAATCAGGTCAAAACTCCTTGGGGATTTAGAGAAATAGAGAGAGTGGGTGAGAGCAGCAGCAATGGCAGCCGGTTAAAAGTGATAAAATCACACTGCCACATGGGGGAGAGAATGTTTCCCTTAGCCAAAAGCTGTTATTGGAAAACATCCGGTGCCTATGCACCCCAGGGGTTCTTTGCACTTCTGTTTCTGTTTAAGAGCTGTCAGAGGTTAGGCGAAGACTGAGCAGTCTGAACTAAGCTGTCCCATGAATACAGAAGCACAGAGCCAAATCAGAAAGTCGATAGCTACACAAGCCTTAATCAGATTAAAGCAATGACAACACAAATAATGAAGACCCTGTGTTCACTTACTTGACACAACATCTTACAAGGGTCAATAGGTTTTAAATAAAATCAGCTCTAAATGAGACAACCTTGCATCGTGAAATATATGAGGACTGATTAAAACCCACATACAGCTTACCTATCTTCCTATCTTTGTATCTAGAAAACATCTCAATAAATTGTTGACTTAAGCAGACCTTATGGTGAGGAAGCGAAGCACATTTTTGTTTAATTCTTCATTCCTTTTCACATTTATAAACAATATTTAATTTTCCTTTTTTAAATCAATGTTTCTTATTACCAAGGGTGTGTTCACATTCGTAAACTGCTTCAGTGGCTGGTAAAGTACTTTCACATTGACATTTTTCATTCTTCATGGTCAAATGAACATCAAGGAATAAAACTTTAAGGTGTTCTGACTTCCTTAACCAGATTACCGGAATGTAGATAATGCCTTAAGCATTACTTTAATTTTTAAGCATTCATTATCCTGGGTAAATTGAATGTTTAACAGCACAGAGTATTAAAGTTGAGTGTAATGAAGTGAGTATGTGAGATATCTTCTGTACTTGATGTGCATGTGAAAGCTGCTCTCCAACTGTAGACGAGTTCAACATCTGCGAGCCCAGTTTAACAGGTGAGACAATTCTGTATGATCCATTCCAATAATTGAAAAATTATGCTGAAAACTGATGATTATAAATAAAATAAATCAGCTTTACCATTTTAAAAAGTAACTTTCTTATACTGCAATTCCCAAGGTACTCATGTATCATTTGTGGGCCATTTATATTATCCCTATATAATTGTCCTGTTTAAAACAACAACATGTCTGGTACGTGAATACAGTAAGGCTACGTTCACACTGCAGCCTGAAATGACCCAAATCCGATTTTTTTGCCCATATGTGACCTGGATCTGATCTTTTCATGGCTGTCTGAACAACACAGATCCGATTTTTTCCAATGCGACCCAGGCCACTTGGCTATGTGGTCCTGAATGTGATACGAATCTGATCTTTTCAAATGCTACCTGTGTCTGACGTTCAGGTCGGATTCATCCGACCTGAACGTCATTAATACCCGACAAAGGTCACTATTCTGCATCTTGCTACGCAGAAGGGGCAAGAAAAACAACAACCTTGGCAGATGATGATGCAGAGAGCAGTATTTATGTTTAACCATGTGAAAAGATTGTGTTTTTATGGTTGGAAAAGATCGCTAGATGCGCGCCGGTACTACCATCCATGTTTACTTCCGTAAACACAGAGCACGCTAGCCTGTGACGTCATTGCGTCCTCTACTGCGAATGCGGGATACTTGCGTTGTATGACTGCAGTTCACACAGGAGATCACATATAAGTTGCATATATTTGGAAATATGAACAGCAATGCAAAAAAAAAATCGGATTTCACAAAAAATCGGAATTGAGCATCAAGGCCTGCAGTGTGAAAGTAGCCTTCGTGTTTAGCTTTCTCAGGAGCATTGAGATTCAGTGGATGTACATTTAAAACCATTTGCAATTAAGACATGTAAAAGAAATGGTTATAGTTAGGTCTAGTATTTTTTACTCTTGAAAAAAAAATGAGAGAAAGTAAGGTCAGCCCTTGAGTCAAAGACAAAAATTGGAGAGACATCAGCCAACAAAGGATCTATGCAAGTATTAATGGGCTGTTTAGGCACCAAACAGGTTGGCCCCTACCTTCACATTTTGTTTTGTTCAGGCATTTATATGATTTTTGACTGGCAGTGGTAAAACCAGGAACAAGTCTACCAAGATCCGCTTTGAATTATTTACAAATCCTTAAAGAGTGCACTCTTAAGATTTCCAGTCATGTCAAGCTTGACATAAAAGAAAAACAAATTGAAGAACATATAACCATTTTAACATTTGCACTCTTCCAACAACATTAAGGACAAATCAGCCTTTGAGAATCTCGTATCCACTCAAAGCCAACTGGGTGGTAACAAAAGCCAGTAATGTAAAATAACTTTGTATAGTCTGCAACACAGCTCCCCCACTACCTCCCATAACAATGGATGTCAACAGAGGCTTTAGAAAAAGAAATGATTGCAATGTAATTGACTACCATTAACTGAGAGCAGTATTTTTGTATTTAAAACAATTCCCAGCACTGCATTGCAGTGCTTATGTGCATTTAATCCACATGCATGTTTCACCTTTCTAAGTATTCTAGCTCTTTTTAAATTACAATTTCAAATAAAGTATTTGATGGGTAGTTAACAATACTCCAACTTCCAAGAACTCCAGCTTTTTTCTAAACGGATGGAATTGAACAGATGTTGCATAATATGCAGTGCATTAACTTTATCAATCACTGAATATTTTCGTACATCTTTGTAAATATCAGGCTGCAAATATTAATCTAAATATCCATACCATAAAGGGAAGAAAACCTATCGTTTCATTCTAGGGCTTATAACTAGGCTTGCATTAGGGCTTATAGAACAGTAAATATGCCATTTTCAGCCCAACCAATGTTACACACCCTATTCAGAGACCTTAAGGACCAGCACCAAATACCCTAATAATCATTCTATGACCCCTTTAAAATGCTTTTAGGATTCTCCTGTCCCATTTTCTTACAACTTGTGTCTTATCTTTAACTCAGATCCCAAAACAGTTTTAAAAGGATTCATTTAATCATTATACATATTTGCCATACATAATGTAGTAGCAAAATGATCAATTAAAAAGAAACAACAAAGAAAACAAACAAAGAAAATAAAAAATTATCCAGGAGCTGGCACATACTCTATAAATTTTATTTTCAAAATTGTTGTTTACCGGAAAGATTGATAGAGGGGTTTTATTTTCAAAATGTCAAACTTACCCCATGAGATACTAATAGATATATCTACAGACGTTGATCCCTAGGACCAAAAAAGTGAATGCTTAAGTAAGGAATGGTCTTAAGAGGATTTTGTATAGCTTTTAAAAACCCATTTCAGTTTAGCCCCTAAAAGGAATGTTAAACCATTCATAATTTTTCCACTTATTGTAGCTTCTGAGATGATCCCAGCCACCCACTGCTTCAGTCCTTTCTCTGATCTCCCGCTATTCCTGCCCTGGCCCCACGTGGGCTCTCCCCTGTTCTAATGCACACTCTGGCTTGCCTCTTTCTCCTATCTACCACTGTCCTGCTGCATTCCCTTAGCTCCAGTGTGATGCCTGGCTGGCCGTCCCTGCCCCAGTTCTGCTGGATTCTCTGTCCAGGAACTTGCTACGATCTCCCACTGTTTCTGTCGGAGCTCATGAGTGATTGCTATCCAGCTATAGCCCCTGGACTACCCAAACTAGTATCAACTCTGGAGGATCTGGTGGACCCAGAGAAAACAGAAATGCTGTCTGAGGTCCCATAGCTAATAAAGGACTGTGATTCATTCAGTAAAATAGTAAAAGTCCACCATGCTGATATTAAATCGTCAATTAGCAGATAGAAGCTCCTTCCCTCTGATAAACACGAGAGAAGTGTCAGTAGTGAAGCATGTCATCTGCCAAGCAAATTGCTGAGAGTAAGTTAGGCTAGCAACAGCACCTGAAAGTCACTGGAATAGGATTTGGTGTGAATGGAGGATTAACTTTAGTAACCATATATTTTCTTTATACAAGGCGTAATTTGCGGACACCTAACAAAAGTCAGCATGCAGGCATACATAGACATTATTTAAATAACCTGTTGGCTTTGCCCTCCTCAACATGCAAATACCAATGTTGCAGTACATTCTGGACCCCTCAAACTCAAGGGGGTGGCTCTAATGGATTCTCCCTGGTACTCTTCAATGAATCCCAAAATAACCTGGTAACAGATTGTGGTGCAACACCAGTCGGATAAAAACCGAGTTTAAGCACAAACTTTATTCTCAAGGCCTACAAAAAGTGTATTTAAAGCATGGAGTTGGTTCTCCATATATTGCACTTGTATATTTTGCAATAAAACAAAAATTGCATTTTCTCTTCCAGTTTAGTGGGTTTTTCCATGTTCCTTCTGGTGATGCTCTGCCGACTTGTTCCTACTTTTCTCATGACGCATCACATTTATAATGTAGTTGCAGCTGTACTGTTAAAGCAGCAAGTATTAAAGGTCAGACGAATAACTATTTTAGTTTATTTGACAATGAGAGACAGAAAGACGGATGAATGATGGAGGAGCTAGATCTGTGGTCAGTGGTCACGGATAGGCTACAAGTTGTTACCAGCTTGTATTTATGAAAAGAAAGCAGGGCACTGAAATAAAACATGAGGTTTCATTATGGAATTGCCGCTTTGTGATATGATCTGTTGAATAATAACTTCCAGATGTCTCGCGAGCCAGGGGCCCACTGATATCAAAGCATGCAGGGTTTTAGGGAAGCTGTGGTGTTGAGGGGAAGAGCTGGGACCACTGCCAGCTGGCTTAGGCTGATGGCACCATGGCTGTGGGTTTGCATCTATTTCACACTCAGTGATTCTGTTTCACATAGCATCGGTGTGCCTAAGCAAATGTGTGTTGGGTATATGCATGAGGGTGTTATTTATTGTTAGAGATTATGCTGGACCAAGTATGAATTA